AAGTGTGATGGATGATTTTATATCCAATCTTTCAAATAATGTCGGTGAGGGTGAATGTAAGAGAATTATTGCTGTTGTCCGTCGTGTTTTGGCATGTCGTGATTTGGAATATGTTTTTTATTTGACTTATAAAATATATATATTTCTTATTAATTGTTTCGGTGTTTAGTTGTTTCATTGTTATCTTGTTTTGTTGTAATAACTTTAGATTATCTTGGTTTAATATTTTGATTTTATAATTTATAAATATATATTGCATTTTTTATATACCTTAACTAATTATTATGTGTAATATTTAAAAGTGTTTTATAATATATACTAGTTTGTCAATAAAAATTTGGTTATTTTGATTGATATAACATTAAATTAGAATTTGTTTACGAAAGTAAGTGTGGTGAACACTCAGTTTTTCCTTTGGACATCAACAAGACAAAAGAAAAACAACTCATCTTCATTTAAACATTTCAATCGATGTTTAAAATTATTAAGGGCACTAGCAAAAATAGTTTCTTCTGTTTTTTTTTAATGTGCTAAAATAACATTTATTTAGTATTTTTTTTGTTTAATTTCTTTAACAAAATGTTGGTATATATGGATAAAGTCTAGAACTCTTTAAATCTCTCTAAGCAATCATATTTTTTTTCTCAAGCATTTCAAAAGGAGTGTTCAAATCTATCTGTGAGCGTTTGGTGAACTTTACTGAATTTTATTGGAACAAGAAATCAAGAAAAGAACAACAACATATGACAAGGTTACGAAAACATCAAATGAAGAATAACAACAAAGATGATGAATATTACAAATTACAATGAATGATGCCGAAGGTAGAAAGATGTGAACTGAAGTGGCCCCATCAGTAAGCACCATCAGTATAAACAACAATGGGGCTTCGAACATTATGAGTCCCATCGGACCAGATTAGATTTCCAGACGAAGGTAGTTTTGGGTCGAGACCGCTGCCTGTAACAGTCACCGAGTAAGACTGCTTCTCGTTTAACGACTTCATAGTTAGAACACTAGGCGAGACCTTGACGTTGAGCTTAGATCCGTGAACTAAGACAACTTTTGATTTGTATGTTGAGTTGGGTGTACCCACGTTCGTGACGGTTCTGTTGAAAGTGACTTTGAAAGTGCTCTTAGATCCCGAAAGTTTAGCTGACATTGATGGATAGTTGAGGTTTCTTGGTAAGGTTTTCTTTTCTTTGGTGCAACTAACTGTTTCACCGGATATTAGTGTAAGGATCTTTGCAGTGTAGTTCAAGCTGCAGAGAAAGGCGATGTGGTCTGCTTTGTCAAATTCATAGACAAGTCCAGGATTTAAAGCGGCTATCGGGTCGATATGGCCAGCTCCATACGCAAACTCAGTTGATGCGAAGTTAGTTCCAGTAGCATTCATTGGCCCAGCTGTGAATTAGTAGATCGAAGAAAAACATACTAATAAGTCAATGGTTTCTTGCAATATAAAGATCAAAGAAAACAGAGACTAATATAAGTCAATGGATGGTTTCTTGCGATACAAGAAAGCCTGTTTTCAGTAGGTGTCATTTGGCTTACCGGTTGTCATGATAGCAGAATGGATCATGGAAGGAGACCACTTAGGATTAAACGTCTTGACGTACGCGGCCACGCCTGCTACGTGTGGACAAGACACCGAAGTTCCGGAGATAACAGAGTATTTCACACGTCTTGTGTCACTGTCGCTCTGAGATGGTGAAGACTCAAGTGAATAAGCGGCGAGGATCTCCACTCCTGGTGCTGTTATATCTGGCTGAAATTCATCCACCACTCTCTCTCAGACAGGGAAAAACGAGAACCAAGATCATAAAAAAATGTTTTCTAGGTACATACCTTGAGAATATCAGTAGCGATGGTGTTTGGACCGCGAGAAGAGAAGGAAGCAACTTTTGGAGCTATCTGATTAAATATTGTCTCAGTTTTTAGAATAGTCGCTTGCGGGGACCTGAGAAAACAAACATAGAGATAAAGAGAATCTAGAGCACATGTAAAGAGTATGAAACAGAGAGATGGTTCTGTTACTTTGTGGAGTTAATGTAAGAGACAAGAGACTCAAAGTCATCTTGTAAGAGAGAAGAGGAAGGCAAAGGGCTGATGGAAGCATAGTCGTTTTTAGGGCTCAAAAGAATGGCTGCAACAGCTCCAGTTGATTGAACTTCGTTTATATCAAAGTCTTCCGTTTGACGACACAATACGATTTTACCCCCCACTCGGGATTTATCTAGACACCCTACCCCACATTCCCTGAAAGGCAAATCACACCAATTGTAAATATGAAAAAAATTTCTAGGTCATTTACATTACAGATGGTGTTTCTTGGGAAGGAAGGAAGGAACGTACTTGGCAGATTCCTCCTCGCAAGTAGAGAAACCAGCTGTTTTTCCGTACACCAGAGGGTATTTATTTCCTTTCATGTCGAAAGTATTTACCGATTTTCCATGTTAACAACCGTAACTGGTAACTAAAGGGACAAAGATTAGTATGATCATAGAAATAAGAACGTTTCTTGATACTTACGACAAGTGTCTTTCCGTTTCCAAGAACAACTTTGGTGACAAATCCACGGTTAGTGGTGCTAGCTGCAACAGTTAAGATCCAAGGCGCTACGCCCGAGACTACACCCGCCTTTGGACCACTGTTACCGGCCGAATTCACAGTGAGAATCCCCTTGGCCATAGCGTGAAAAGCCCCGACTGCAATCGGGTCATTTTCGTACATTGATGTGGTTTCTCCCCCGATAGAGATGGTGATGAGATCCACACCGTCGGCTATTGCATCATCAAACGCAGAGAGTATAGCTTCCGAACTACAAAGCTCCGTGCAGGCTTTATAAGCTGCGATTCTAGAGGCCGGAACACCACCTCTTACCGTTCCATTACCGAATCCGAAGAAGCTTATGTCCGCGACTGCGTTTCCAGCCGCTGTGGACGCGGTATGTGTACCATGCCCGTCATAATCCCTAGCACTTTGTCGTGTGTAGTCTCTTGCGCCGATCAACTTGCTGAAAAATAATAGAGAGAGCATTTTCTATCTAAAGTATGGTATTTTTTAAAGAGAGAAAAAAAGCCGGACCTTGGCACATTCTCATACAACATTTCTTATTCTATTGTGTTATCAAGCGACAAAAAGTTTCTTAAAAAAATGTCACTGATTGTGAGTGAATTTGTCAAAATACACATCACAAACATATAATAAACAATCGAGGAAAAAGGTATTTTACTTGTTGCATGTGAAGTTTTTGCAGCCTGAAGAAACACCTTTCCATTTCTTAGGAGGAGGACCAAAGCCTTTATCGGAAAAGCTCTGAGATTCCGGCGTGATCCCACTGTCGATGACTCCGATAATTGTATCACTTTCCACGGTTGGATTCCTCTTCGTCCTCTTCCCTTCCTTTAATCCCATGAAGTCCCAAGACGTCGTCGTTTGGAGTTTGAAATACTTGTTTGGGAACACAGACACAACTCCCTCCATTTCTAAGTATAAGTGGAACCATGCAAGAAGGTAAGTCCATAAAATTCTAGAAAGACTTGTTTTTTTATATATACATGTTAGTTTAGCTATGTGATTAGCCTAGTTATATTATTTTTCATTTTCACTGCAATAGTTTCATGCATAGAAGCTTCCCTGGTGTATAGACATGTAAATAAGATGTCACAAATCAAATTCCAACTCACATTATGCATAAAAAATTATAATAAAACTATTTCACTGTATTATGAGACTAATCAGGTCCAAAAACACCCCTTACTAGCTATTCTTTCTCGTTCTGACTCGGTGAGGAGAGCCGCAAATCCGTTGAAACTTCTCTTGTAATTTCCAACCAAGCGACCCTCGATCGAACTAGAATATGTAACGACCGAGCCATTATTGTACTTGTTAGAATCTTCAAAAGAAGTTTTACAGTATTTACAAGTAATTAATTGATACGATTAGAAGATAATTGGACTAAAAGCATACCTCTCTCCGGTCACCTCTTGCAGAATATTCATGTGAACAGAGATTGGTGTGTAGTCTCCACTAGACGGAAGCGATCCCATGTAAACGACATACACCTTCAGGGATTATCATCATCATGTATGATAGGTCGATGATAAATTGGTCATAGCGATATATAAACTAATAATATACCTGTTGGTCCTGAGGATCATTTGTGACTCCTAAGACTGAATTCGAAAACAATGCAAAGAGACATGAGAGGAGGCAAGAGGAAGTTGATCGTTTACCCATTTTTCTATAAAATTATCTAAAGCTAATTATCTAATTAATATGGAGATCAACATGAAAGGATGTATACATTATAGCTAGAGAACTAGATGCATGAACCGTGTAAAAAGTTCTTCTGATTCTATTTCTTCACAAATTCTAATAAAATCTAATATTACCAATAATTAAAAAAAAATCTAATTTGATAAAACTTCATCAAGATATCTAGATATTTTTTTGTTTCTAGGAAAATTTATTTTGGACCATGATAGGAAAGTGAATTAATAACTTTTTTTTTTGTCACCAAACTAATAACCTCTTAGAATCCTCATAAATATTTGATTTCCCTTTATTTGGTATCTTGCTAAAATGTTGGATAGAATCTAGTAAAAATATAACAAAATTTAATTTATTAACAGTTATCAAACCCATAAGATACAA